ATGAGTTGTATTGTATCAGCTGTAAATTAGGATCAGTAGTCACACTTAAGATATTCAAATATATCTGTGGCCAAAAATGGCCGTCGGTAGTGAGGGCTAGATCTGCTCCCCACCTTGATGAAGGTATAGACGGTCAGTGTTTCATCCGTCTTCGATAATTACTAATAGATTTTTTACAGTGTTTTTGGGTTCCCCGTGCTTAAATGTGCTGCTGTCTTCATCTGGAGTTGTGAGTCCAGTTGTTAGAAGACACACTTCATGTTCATGATGGATTTAGGCTGTTGGTATTCTAGAAATGTATTACAGCTAAACCCCTGTTAGTGAGCTCATTAAATGGAACAAATCTTCCATCTTGAGTTCTCGGTGTGGGGGGGCGTAGTGGTGAGGTGGGTAGCACCATGGCCTCGCAGCAAGAGAGTTCCTGGTTTGAGTCCAGGGGAAGTTAATGTTGCAAATAAGGATTTCTAGTTAACTGAATCAAGTGCTTTTTCTGCATCTAATCCAAGTTGTTGATGGTAGAAAAGTGTGTGTGATTAAGCAGCGTGAGCATGTTGTGAAAAGAGTGTCTGCCCTTTGTAACCCGGCCTGCTCAGGATGTTTTATAGAGGGACTCGTTCTTAAGAAATCAGTTTGAAGTCTGCATTTCTGAAAGATTTTGGGCGGGAACTGGATGGACGTGCAGGCTCTTCTCCTTGTTTCTGCATTAGAATAACAGCCGAGTTCATGCTGGGGGATCAAATAGATTTCAAAATAGAGTTAAACTGGTTCAAAATGGAATAGTTTTTAATATAGTAGTGCCTCTGGGGGAGACTGGGCTGGGGTTAGGGTTCGAGAGGCTGGGATGAGTCTGGAGGAGACTAATGTCCTAATGGAGATAGAAGCACCGCTCCTGAGTAAGAACCAGGGTTACTGTTGAAAACTAGTAATGGTACTTCATTTAAAACACCAAGAGGAACAGCAGTCCTGTAGGAGGAGAAAGAACCTCTTCAAATACAGGGGTTGGACAATGAAACTGAAACACCTGGTTTTAGACCACAATACTTTATTAGTATGGTGTAGGGCCTCCTTTTGCGGCCAATACAGCGTCAATTTGTCTTGGGAATGACATATACAAGTCCTGCACAGTGGTCAGAGGGATTTTAAGCCATTCTTCTTGCAGGATAGTGGCCAGGTCACGACGTGATGCTAGTGGAGGAAAATGTTTCCTGACTCGCTCCTCCAAAACACCCCAAAGTGGCTCAATAATATTTAGATCTGGTGACTGTGCAGGCCATGGGAGATGTTCAACTTCACTTTCATGTTCATCAAACCAATCTTTCACCAGTCTTAATGTGTGTATTGGTGCATTGCCATCCTGATACACGGCACCTCCTTCAGGATACAGTGTTTGAACCATTGGATGCAAATGGTCCTCCAGAATGGTTCGGTAGGCCTTGGCCCATCTAGCACAAGTATGGGGCCAAGGGAATGCCATGATATGGCAGCCCAAACCATCACTGATCCACCCCCATGCTTCACTCTGGGCATGCAACAGTCTGGGTGGTACGCTTCTTTGGGGCTTCTCCACACCGTAACTCTCCCGGATGTGGGGAAAACAGTAAAGGCGGACTCATCAGAGAACAATACATGTTTCACATTGTCCACATCCCAAGATTTGCGCTCCTTGCACCATTGAAGCCGACATTTGGCATTGGCACGAGTGACCAAAGGTCTGGCTATAGCAGCCCGGCCGTGTATACTGACCCTGTGGAGCTCCCGACGGACAGTTTTGGTGGAAACAGGAGAGTTGAGGTGCACATTTAATTCTGCCGTGATTTGGGCAGCCGTGGTTTTATGTTTTTTGGATACAATCCGGGTTAGCACCCGAACATCCCTTTCAGACAGCTTCCTCTTGCGTCCACCGTTAATCCTGTTGGATGTGGTTCGTCCTTCTTGGTGGTACGCTGACATTACCCTGGATACCGTGGCTCTTGATACATCACAAAGACTTGCTGTGTTGGTCACAGATGCACCAGCAAGACCTGCACCAACAATTGGTCCTCTTTTCAACTCTGGTATGTCAGCCATAATGTTGTGTGTGTTGTGTGCATTGCAATATTTTGAGCAAAACTGTGCTCTTACCCTGCTAATTGGACCTTCACAGTCTGCTCTTATTGGTTCAATGTGCAATTAATGAAGATTGGCCACCAGGCTGGTCCAATTTAGCCATAAAACCTCCCACACTAAAATCCGAGGTGTTTCAGTTTCATTGTCCAACCCCTGTACGTCCCCAGAGCATGACTGCCTGCCTGAATGACTGACTGACTGAATGACTGACAGCCTGTCGGTCCGACTGACTGACTGTATGAATGAGTGAGACAGACAGACAGACAAAGAGGGAGTGAGAGAGAAGGAGAGAAAGAGAGAGGGAGAGGGAGCTGATTGGCTGCAACAAAGTGGAGACTGGGCTGGTTCATCCCCACCAATAGGAAACACCTGTTAGGCGTCTGCCATTAAACACAAATTCAGTCTCCCAATCAGCAGCAGCCTCATGGAGGAGGAGGCGGAGACAACCACGTGGGACAGAAGTGCAACAGCAGCAGCATCTTTTTTACCTGGTGAGACGTACACCTCATTTCAGAACCACCTACTTTTGCGTTTTAAGGTAGTTTTACAAAAAAGGTCTCCCTCTTCAGATGCCAAATAAGCTGCAGTTCCCTCCCTGTTCTTTTTCTCCTGTATAATGGCCAGTCGTGAGTGCGTCTATAGTTTGTGAAGTACAGTAATTCTAACGACTTTTTTTCCTTCATTTTCTGTACTGACTATTTATTTTTAGAAATGTTTACAAAAGAGCTTTCAAACTGGACTCCCTCTTCAGATGCCAGATAAGCTTCCATTTTTTTTTTGTAATGATGGTAATAACAGCAGCAACCTTTTTTGTTTCATTTTCTCTAAGTGGTGTAATGTACTTATGACCTTAGTTGAAGGACAAACTGAAGGCTTACAAAAACTCTGTATTTTGTGTCTAAACCTAAGGGTAAGGGTATACTAAGAAGCTGGTTCAGTAGTAAAGCAGGTTAAGTTAACCCTGTGGTAAAGCATCTAATAGCAGAGCCAGGAGTCCTCGTTTTCTTAACTAAATGACACCTGCAGGTGTATCTATTAGCAGGTTTACCACTTCCTGTTGGTTAACTCAGCCTGGTTAATCACTTAACCATGTTGTTAGTATACACCCCCTGGTCTAAATCTTTCCTGCACTTGGTGGTATAATAGTTTAAGTGAATTTGACCTTCAAAGTTTAACAAAATATGAAAAATGTCATTCAAACTGCATTTGCCTTGTTTAACTTTTTACTTCTACTTTTCAGTACATTACTTGAGTACATCTATTTTTTCAGTCATTTTAATACTTAAGTACAAGACATTTCAGATACTTTAAGAAATTTAACTCGAGTAACATTTCAGTCAGTGACTTTTACCAAAGTCATATTTTGGAGAGGTTCCCATACTTTTACTTGACTGAGATTTCAGTACTTTATACAACACTGGAAATCACTTTAAGTAATGAAGCTGTGAACAATAAGTCAGTGGATGGCTTCAGAGTAGGGGAGACGATGATCACTTGGAGAAAGTTGGTAAACGATGAATTGGTTTTGTCTTTTCTTAATCCCCCCATCCCCTCCCTGAGAAACCGTCTGGGTTCTGGTATCGGACCCCCCCTCTTCTTCACCTTCAGATCAGTCAGCAGACTTTTCTTTCAGATGATTCTGTTTTATGGCTCTGGATGAACTGGATGTTTGAGCTGATTGGACTCTATATGTTTTACAATGAACCGGATTTAATTGGCTCAAGTTGGACTTTTGAGGAGCTTCCAGATCATTTTTTGTGATTTGCCCTCCGTAACTAAAACTGAATTCATGGTAAGTGGTTATTTCTCAGCACGCCGAGCAGTTCTTTGTATTCTGGAGAGTTTCTGGAGTAAAGCTGGGTGTCTTTCCACTGAAGAAGCTGCTCTGCTCCCGTTGTGCTCAGGACCCCCATCTTCTCATACTCCTTCACCAGTAGACTGTCTCCAATGCCATGGTAGCGCCTGGTGGCTTCTCTGGACAGAAGCTCAGCTCTTCTGTTGGCTCGATGGATTTCTGCAGGATTCAGAAAGAAGGGAAGCAGAATCAGCCTCTGTGGAGCCGCTGACAGGAAGTGGTCATCCTGACTGCGCTGACAGGAAGTGGTCACCCTGACTGAGCTGACAGGAAGTGGTCATCCTCACAGTGCGCTGACAGGAATTGGTCATCCTGACTGCGCTGACAGGAAGTGGTCATCCTCACAGTGCGCTGACAGGAAGTGGTCATCCTGACTGAGCTGACAGGAAGTGGTCATCCTGACTGAGCTGACAGGAAGTGGTCACCCTGACTGAGCTGACAGGAAGTGGTCATACTCACAGTGCGCTGACAGGAAGTGGTCATCCTCACAGTGTGCTGACAGGAAGTGATCACCCTGACTGAGCTGACAGGAAGTGGTCATACTCACAGTGCGCTGACAGGAAGTGGTCATCCTCACAGTGCGCTGACAGGAAGTGGTCATCCTCACAGTGTGCTGACAGGAAGTGGTCACCCTGACTGAGCTGACAGGAAGTGGTCACCCTGACTGAGCTGACAGGAAGTGGTCATCCTCACAGTGCGCTGACAGGAAGTGGTCATCCTCACAGTGTGCTGACAGGAAGTGGTCACCCTGACTGCGCTGACAGGAAGTGGTCATCCTGACCGCACTGACAGGAAGTGGTCACCCTGACTGAACTGACAGGACGTGGTCACCCTGACTGAGCTGACAGGAAGTGGTCACCCTGACTGCGCTGACAGGAAGTGGTCACCCTGACTGAGCTGACAGGAAGTGGTC